AGGGGCCTCGCCCTCCCGTGACCGCCAGGGAGCGCTGTCCGCGAGGGAGGTCGAACCTTTGTGGACGCTGACGTCATGGCCCCTCGCACCTCCTCACCGAGACGCTCCGCCGCCGCCACCACCACGCGAGCCAGGACCACGGAGAGCCAGACTGTCGAGCCCTCCGGCCCTCGCGCAGGAAGTCCCACCCTTCCGGCAGCTGATTGGCTCAAACCTGGCCACTTCCCGCCCCATCTTCCGCAGTCATTTAGGCGCTTTGGGGACGCTAAGGTGGAAGACACCGCCTCACTTCCGATCAGCTTCGTTCCATTTCCGTCGAGGGGTCAGGACTACCCGTTTAGAGGCAACTTCTAGCCTTAGCCCATGCCCACTTCCTCATTCAAACATAGACACAAGGTTTAGGAGAGCAGCTCGTCTTTATTGTGGTAGGGAATAGGCGAGTGAGGCTGGAGAGGCAAGGTGTTGTCAGCCTCAGCCCCCTCCACGGGGGTCAGACACCTGAGGCTGGAGAATTGGAGATTCAGTCTCGCCAGGAAAACCCAGTCTGGCGGAGGATGCCACAATGGGCAGGAGGAGACCCGAGTGAATGGTGGAGAATCTTTAAATAGACAGGGAGCTGAAGAGGGGAAACACAACAGTGCTCTAGCGCACCATGTATTCCTTGCGCTTATTGAGTCGAACTTGGCAGAAAGAGAAGCCTCCGAGTAGGAGGTAGAGGCCCGCAGCGATGAAACAGTTGTAGCTGACTTGCTCGTAAAGCTTGTATATATTCTGAGGACCATTCCTAGGTGTAGGAAGTAGGTAGAGAACTCTTAGATATTAAGAGCAACCAAAAGTTTCAGGGCATATGTGCCCTGGCACCATTCTAAATTGCTACTTCTCTCCTCCCCCGACTTAGTATGTATTAAACTCAGCGCCTTCATACTGAGCTACATCCCCAGTGCTTTTTATTTTGAGACAGGATCTTGCTAAGTTTCTAAATTGTCCAGGCTGGGATCGAACTTGTGATCGTCCTCCCTCCACTTCTCAAGAGTGCTGGGGTTATAGGTTTACATCATCATGCCTAGCTGTTGCGGGTATTACCAGTTTTCAGTGTTTTCCACAACTATATGAGATAAGTTCTATTATAATAACCCTTTGGTAGAGGCGGACTAAATCACAGAGAGGTAAAATACCTAAAGAGGCCACACTTAAACTGGTGGGTTTAGGATGGCTGCTACAACCTGATTTCCAAGACTGCTCCTAAATACATTCCATTTCCTTTTTCTTTCTTTTTCTGCTGAAGCTTGAACTTAGGGAAGGCCTTGCAAGTTAAGCACACATTTTACCACTGGGCTACACCAAAACCCTAACTAGTTCTATAGACAGTAGCTCTTCTCTCCCTGTTCTCTAACTTCAGGGTCCCAAACATCCAGCCACTGGCAATTTCCCACCCATAATTTTGACCATCGGCCCAGCTACCTCATACCTGCACTCAGACCCACTTTTTCCAGTTGCCCACTTACGTGAAATCCTTTTCCGTGAAGGGAACATCCTCAATCAACACAGCTGAGTGCACATTGAAAAATATTCCAAGCATTATCTGAAAAGGAACAGGTAGGTTGATGAACACAGACACTAACCTCCCTGAACCTCTCTCATTTCTTATGTTGCCCCAACACCTGCATCTAGGATTAACCAGAAAGAGCTAGGAGTAGGAGTGGTTGTGGCTGGATTAGGAATGGCCTCAGCTATCTGGACTAGGGGACTCTGAAACAAATGCTGGTACAAGAGTGGGAATAATGAGCAAGTTGCCTTTTTTTTTAGGAACGCAGACTCTCCTCCTCCCTAAAGGCATCACTATCACGGGACAGGATGGAAGAGATCAGAGAGAACCAGCAGTTCGTATTATTTCTAGAAGACACAGTGTAGTCTGGGGAAAGAAGGCCATAGTAACTCATTTCGGGAAGAAGCACTCCTGTTCCCCGCTAGCCTCCAACTCGGGCATCCCTCAGGACCCCCAGCTCATCTTTTTCTTAATGTGAAAAGTCCACAAATTTTCCAGCCTCGGTTCTCCTTCCACACTCCAGCCTCGCCATCCTTCCTCTCCAGTTCCCCATTTTCAATCTAATTTCTCTCTTATTGTCCAGTTAGCCAGCTAGCCCCTCCAGCCTGCCTGCTGCTCTCTAAGGCACGGAGTTCCCTGGCCTTCTAGCCCTCCAACCCTGGAGCCCCTCAGGTCTCCGATTCCCTCACCAACATGATCACGCCCCAGGCGCTGAGGACGATGCCGCAGGCGGCCAGCTTGGGGCCACAGCACAGGAGCGACGCCATGAAGAAGGGAGTCGGGGATTCAGCCGACTGTGAGCCGAGTAAAAGGCAGTGACTGGCAACCTTGGATATGCAAGGGTCAGCGGGCAGGATTTGGGGACTTCCACTGCCAGCTGTAGCTGAAAGGGCGTGGCCTTCGGCCTCAACCATTCGGCTTGGGGGCGGCAGCGGAGAAGGTGGACGTCTCGCGGTCCTCCTCAGGCTTCGGCGAGAGAACACATGTCTTAAACTATAGTTGCACCTTGGAAAGCCCTTCTCGACATACCATTATTATTGGGGTGTGAGTACTGCAAGACTTATGACCCGGTTCTTTGGTCTCTCTCCCTTCACATTGGAATGGAAGGAGCTGAACGTCACGTGGTCGAGTCTGGCAAGTCACATGACTAGGAGCTAGCAGCAACAAGGCCTCCAGAAACGTCTCACTTTGGCTGAGAACCTGGCAACTTGGGTAAAAGGGCTGTTAGGATGAGAGGCTTAGACCCATTTTATTTATTTATTTATATTTGGTTGTTTGTTTGCTTCTGGCACCTTAGTTTCGGGTGGTCCTTGTGATGGGGAAATGGTAAGTGAGACGTGAAGATTTACTTAGAGAGCATGCACATCCATAGCGCCTGTACTCATCCTTCGCCTAAACACTATAAAAGAAGCTAGGAACCCCCTCCGGAGGCCAAGCATACTGTTATAAGTAGAATGCCTTAAAATCGTGGCGGATTCGTTGACATTGAATATGTTTCTGTTAATTAACATCACTTGGCATACTCTAACTTTTATCATCGCACTTGGAATATTGTACTAGTTCTGGATGCTGAATCCAGGAAAATATAGGGTTAGGAACATTCCAGGGAAAGCAGACTTCGAGCAAGTTATGAAGGTGAGTGGTCCAGCCATATGAACTGGTAAAAGGAATAAACACAACATGTTTACTAAGTAAAGTGATTGTATCCTTAAGCAAGGTGAATTACAAGATTAAAAAATATGAATAGATCATCCTGCCCCCTCCCAAAAAAGTTTGTGCATTGCCCTAATGAGACATAGATTTGTAATATTTAGGGAAACGAGTGTTTGAAGATTTTTTTTTTTAATTGGGGTCTGAAGCCACAAGTGAAGAATACAATTTGCACTGAGCTTTCTGTACCCCTATTGGCAAGAACAGGGACCACAGCACAGTTGAGAGAGATCATTTTGATTCTGAGATTCCAGAACCAAACAAAAACTGTCATGGGCTAGAATGACTTTGTGGTATTTTCCTATTTATTTTGTGCATATTGTTCTTAAAAGGGTTGTGAAAGAAAACGTGGAACTTGGCTTCCATGGGTAACACATAGGGATCATTGGACATTAAATGGGCTGAGAAAGTGGACTTGAAACACGAGTTTCATATTTCTTTTTGTTTGGGACTGTCTGGGGAAAGGAGCCATTTGGAACAAAGTTTTTTTTTTTCTTTAATTTTATTGTGGACTAGGAACACTATTCTTATTCACAGACACTTAGTACTGTGTCTAAATAGGAGCAATAAGAGTGGAGGTAAAAATCACTAAGGAAGATAGTCAGAAATTTGGTAGTTTGCCTCTAAGCGTAGAATCTAGTTCCCGGGAAAGAAGAGTTTGGTTAACTGAGATAGCTGATTTCTCAAAAAAAGTCACTACCTTTTGCCAGCCATGTTTTGGAAGTAGAGTTAAGCTTTTGGCTAATGTAGCAGATAGAAACAAAATCCAGTCAGTGGCCTATACCTGTTGCTCAAACAAAGCACTTTCTTTTTTAGGTGGTTGATTAAGCCAAGTTCTCTGACATATGAAGTTCATATCTCAGTATTCATAAATAAAGCTTTATTGGAACATAATCACACTTACTTGCTTACAGATTGTGGCTGTTACACTGGGAGAACTGAGCAATTGTGGCAAAGATAGTGTGGCATACCAAACCTAAAATATTATCTGGCTCTTTACAGAAAAAATTTACTGTTCTTTGGGCCAGTGTGATACTGATGTAGAAGATTTAGTTGGGGGAGGAATGAGAGCATTAGCAGCAATGATTTAGGAAAACATAGCATTCAAGATGGAAATGTCAGTCCTAAAGCTGATCTGAAATCATCCAGGCAGGGCACTTTAGGGCTTAGATAGTGATACTGTTCTCTATGTGGCTGGGTTTTAGGTATTCGTAGGGCAGGTCAAGTTGTTCATTCCGGGCTGTAATCTCATTTTCCAGGGTTTTCAGTTCCGTTTGGAATTGTCTTAGCACAGCTTTGGCCTTGGGACTTGAGAAATAGTTTTCTTTGTGATGACCCAGAGGAATCTAAAACATAAAAAATGATCAGTCAGTTTTTAGTCTGAAGAGAAAAGCACCTAGAGCCCAGCTTTTCACTCTAATGTTTTCTTTCCAACTGTCATTTCCCTCTCCACAGGGTCCCTTCTCACCATATCTGGCTGACGGCGACCCAGATGCCATGTGATGGTCATTTGAAGACAGGACTGCTGGACATCAGGTAGTGACCCCATCACCGTGTCCATTGTCACATCTTCCTTAGTGGTAGGTGGGGGCATCCGCATTGTGCATGGGGCATTAGGGATCCAGGCATACCAGTCCAGCTAGGAGAAGAAACTGCATCCCTAGGATACTAGTACTAGGGTTTGGGTCCCCACCTCTCCCTTGAGTCTCCCAAGGTCCAGGCCGTTGCTTTCAGGGACCTGGGATTTCACCTCTTCATACCTGGCCCTGGTTGATGGCCCCATGCTGGGCAGTGCATGTGAAGATACACATGGTAAGGAAATGACAGAGTTCATCCTGGGACTGGAAGGATATAGGGAAACCTGGGCAGGAAAGGAACAGAATTTAGAGGCTACAGCAGAAGAGAAAAGAAAGAAAAGCCGGTGTCTTCATAGGTCCATATTTCAGAATTGATGTGTTAATTTATTTAGGCATATTTGCATCAGACATGGCTTATAATCCTGGCCCGGTCACTTACAGCTTGATTATCTTAGGCCAATTATTTAACCTCTCTGAATTTCAACATTTTCACCTATAAAAGTATAGATGAAATAGAAAATAGTCAACAAATAATAATGTTATTATGGAAGGGTTAGGGTTAGGAGCTGAATGGCTCTGAGTGACCAGATATCTTCACCTCAAAAAGTGGTTAAGAATTTAGATGCCAGTTGTGGTGCACACATGTGTAATCCTAGCACTTTGAAGGCTGAGGCAGGAGGATTGCTATGAATTTGAGGCCAGCCTGGACTACACAATGAGTTCAAGGCCAGCCTGAACTACATAGTGAGACCCTGGCTCCAAAAAACAAAACAAAACAAAACAAACCCAAAAATGTAGGGATGCTTCCTCCTATTCCCTGACAGGGAATTAGGAATTACAAATCGCTGAGTTATAAAATGAGCAGTAAGAAAAGTGTGGATTTCCAGTATCATAGTTAAGAGGGACCTCCCACAAGTGCTGTCTCAAGCTGTTCATTTTGTAGTGGCTGGTGGCTCAGAAACCCAATAATGCTGTCAGCTAAGTAGAGCATATATAATTAAAAATATATTTTTTAGGCCGGGGATTTAGCTCAGTGGTGCTGCTGCCTGCCTCATAAGCACAAGGACCCAAGTTAGATCCCCTGCACACCCCCCAAATATA